TACCACCAAATACTCATTTAGTTATGAAGATCGAAGTTAATCACTTGTGCAGCATCGCATCGTACGTGAAACAGGCGAGGAATGTTGTTGCGATGATGGAAACCTTGTGCTCTCGTGACGTTTGCGTATCTCTGACCTGAGTTTTATTGAAACGACGATGTTGATGTCAACGATTTTGCAATAATACACCAAACGTGTACAATAAATGGACGAGCTTGAAAGCTTGAACTCGCGCGCACCAACGAGTTGAAAAAGTTAATTGCATACTACCTCGATAATGAGAGACTCGTCGCAGTCGACCCAGGGAAGTAAATTGCATTTGCATTTTGCGAAATTTATCGGAGCTGCCCATGGCGTAAAAAAATTGTTTGCTCTGGACAAACGTTCGTCGACAGTGAAATAAATACATGTTCATCCATTTTGCATTTATCGATGCAATCGTATGGCTTATCGTTACTTTATTAACGGAAACACGTTTTGTACTTGGGCATATTCAAAAAGATCGAACAAACTTTTTAATTGATTAACAGTAACAGGAGTTGAATTTCTGATGATGAAAACAAAGGCACATCAAATTAAATTTAATTAAACAAACAAGCGAATGAATAATAAAAAATAAATCATTTTTGCGAATTGATACTTTTTACAGTTAAAAAAAAAAACAGCGAAAAAAGTTCGCCTTATCTACGAGAGTCGTAAAAAAAATTGGCATTAAAAATTATAAAAGAAAAATAAATTTTACCAATCCCACGCTTTACACGATTTGATCGTTTGGTAAAAGTAAAAATTGCCGCGCATTTTTAACATCACCATGGAAATGGAAAAATGTGACTGCCCCACAACGCAGAAGGGTGTGGAGTAGAGTGAAATTTCTCGAAAAAAGCTCGATACTTTGAAGTGTGTTCTCATCGACCAGCTATCGATGTAGCATAAATTAACCCTGCGCCCCGCCGATCCCAAATAATTCCAACGCAGCATCCACCGGTCATTAAAAAGAAGCGCTCAACACAATGGGAGTTTGGCCTTTTTTCCGCTGGTATATATATTTCCGTCGGCTCTTCGTAATCCCCATTGTTTTTCCAATCTCCCGACGTCTAGACCAGCGAGAGGAACGCAGATCCCCTGCGCGATAATGTCGTTAATCCGTTTGATTTCCTTACCAAAAAGGGAAAAAAAATTAACGTCCAAGAAAACCGGAATTCCAAATGGTTTTTTCCTTTTTTTTTTAATTATCTTATTTTCCCATCTATCGCTTCCGACTTTTATATACGCGCCACCCCAAAAGCTCTCGAAATTCCACACGCGGAGCTGGACAGAAAAATTGAAATCGCCGGAGAGCTTTATTTATTTATTTTCTTGTTTGCATCCTCTGCACCGCGCAGCCATGCACACGCCCCCGGACAGTAGTTCTTTTTTTTTTTTTTTTTTTTTTTTTTTTTTTTTTTTTTTTTCTACATTTTCAGCAGTCGAATTCATGAATTTTCCAGTTCCCAAAAGCTGGCCGCAAACGTGATCTTTTATTTTCTCCACGCTCAAACGCAGCCCAATCCCTCACCCTTTTTTCGGTCCACTTTTTTCCCGTCCCATACCTTTTTGTAAGAGAAAAATCCACTTCTTTCGATGAATTCCCATTTATAGTGGACGCGTTCATCCGTCGAAATTGCTCATTAACGAGCTTTCGACCTCGAATTCGTACCCGTGCACGTGTTAGAATACGAAGAACCTCTCGATCGAGACAAAAAAAGCGGGCTCAATCACATTCCACAGCAATCTCATACTCGTGAAAAAAAAAAAAAAAAAAAAAGATTCAAGTAGTCATCGATTGAACTGCACGAAAGAGAAAACGGAGGAGACAACGGCTCAAAGCTCACTTGCATAAATTCTCGGTTGAAAGATATCTCCCCCCCCCCATCCTCGTATTCGGTGTATCGACTCGTCGGGGCGGCTTTTGCGATTGCCATACGCGACGACGATCGTTGCACTTAAGCCTATACGCAAGTACAGCGACGCTGAAAAAGAGAAAAGTTGTAGCTCGTAAAAAAAACTTTCCTACTTGAGGCTGTTGTTCCCATACATTCCCTCACCCTTGGGCTGTGCACTCGGCGAGTCGAAGCTCCTCGGAAAAGCTTGTTACGGTGGCGACGCAGGGAAGAGGGGCTGTGTTGGTCTGTGAAGGCAGTGATGAATCTTCGCTCGAGGGGAAACCGAAGATGTTTGTTTGGTTTTACGGGATTAGGTTGTTGTAGGTGCTGTTTGGGCTGCCGAGAAAGTTGCGGGCTGCTTGTTCGGGTTGTTTCAAAGGACGCTGTTGTATTTAAATCCGGACTAGATAGGAATCAGGGCTCAGGTTCGAAATTTCTGGGCCGTACGTATTGTGACGTGGGTGAAACATGACTTTTGGTGTTTTCGGGATTGACATTTGATTTAAATGGTTTCCATTATCAGCTTGTTGCTATATAATGTATAATTATTTTAACCTATTATCCTCTCAAATGTTATGATTTTAATCATTATGGTGCATCGTAACTAAATTCAAAAGTTAAACTAAGCTAATCTTTTCTATATTTACCGATCAGTAGTATAGGTCTTGATATGGTCAGACGAGAAAAACTTTGGCGAATAAAATGAAAAAAAATCTTTGAAAAGCGATTTTACTTATGCATTTCATTAAAAATAATGAGCTTTGCAAAATATAATAACATACTTATAAAATTGTAACCTATACATAGAATCGCTGACCTAGATATACACAAAAGACGCCATCGAAGCGGTGTACCTAAGTGTAGGTAGTGGCATAAATTTTCGTTTGTTTCCTGTACTTTTTTAGTTTATCCTTCACCTTTTTAGCTGAACAGAGTTCCTCTCAGTAATATTTTTTCATTCTGTCAAATTTTTTTTATCTATTACACCTCTAGGTATAAGTATTTATGGATGAGAAAAGAAGTGTTACTTGTGTAGAAGAGTGGCTCTATTGCTTATAGTTATTCGAAAAAAATCAAAATATTTGGACATTCTGCGTATTAGACACAGGATAATTTTATTTTAGAAAAGTGAAATACATAAGGTATAAAAGTAGATTGAGAAACAATGAGTGGACGAGCAATCTTTACAATAAGAACCAGCATAACAATGTAAAAAGGTTAGTTTTACTTACCAAATAAAAAATTCATCTAATTTCTATTCTAAACTCTAAACTTTTCTCGTGTGTACCTTCTCTACAAAACATTCAAATTGACTGAGCAATTGTTTCGTGCCTTAAAAGACTTTTTTACGTTTGTACCTGTATAAAAAGTCAGACACTACTCTCAGCGAAAAATGAGTACGGCGTACCCGCACACAACGTACCTACACATGAATTGATACAAGTTCGAGAAGGAGCTGTTTCGGTAGCGTCAGCATCTAACTTGGCCACTTAGAAACTTTAGGCTAAAGATCCAGGAAAGCTCAACTGTTACGAGTAAGCGAAAGCTTATCTTAGTTGAATTTCAAAGTATGGCTCGAGGAAAATTGGCTTGTGCTTCTTTTGTCAAAACACCTCTCTACAGAATGTCTATTTCCACGTTGGTCGCTACGGTTTTTTTTGTTTTTTGTCATTGGATGATGGGTCAGTGAGATAAAAGCAATGTTACGTTGACAGGGAAAGAGTTTTCAGATAGGGATGAAAATTGATTGATGTTTTTAGGAATCACAGTGTTTGAGTTAATCTTTTTGTTTTTCTCAGCGTACCACCTTAATATTCATGAGACTTTAACGTGATAAATTGTTCATTCAATATACCATTGAAAATAACAATCGAAAACAATTTTATTTTTCAATTGCTGATGAATCCAAGAAACTTGGGAGCATGCAATTTGCCCGTCACGTAGGTATGAATTAGATGTACATTCATTTAGCCTTATCACAATCTTGACTGCTGTACAGTTAACGAATAGGACTGGGTGTGTAATAAAACGCTCCGTCCTTTATAGCTAACTTGATAACTCCTGTACGTGCCCTGTGCAGGGCAGTGGTATAAATTTATAAAGTAAATGCAGGGAAACCGAGTTTAGTGAATTTAAGTAATTATGTTATTTGTGCTTTTATTGTAAATTTTACAATGAAAAATTTTTGTTGCAAATCCAAGGTGATCCTACAAGCTAGAACCGTACCTACATGGCGTTTATCGCGAAGTGACTTTACGCTTGCTAGAGCTCAAGAGATACTGAATTAATCAAATCCAATGATTAAATAATATTACTTAGACTGGGTATTTTTTTATCTCGATTTTCAACGGTTTTTGTTGAAAGTCAAAAGCCAAGTGCACTCATTACCGAGATAATACGCATTTTCGAGTGCGATAAACATGATACAGCAAAAAATATCTCCTTGCATGCTGTTGTCAGACAAAGTTCGAGCTTAACCCTTATCTGTACGGTTGCAATTTAATTTTGGTTACACATTACTCGAAAAAGGACACTTTTAATTTATGTTAGATTAGGACACTACTTTAAATCATCTGTACAATCTCTGACTACGTCCATACAGTAGTGCCATTTTAAACTTTTTTTTAAACATTTGCTTGATAAATTTTTCACGTAAAAAAGGAAAAAGTGAGAATGTATTGCTCAGTCTCGTTTGACCTACATTCGAACAACGACAGTAGAGAAAAGTCGTTGTGAGTGTTACAGTTGGAACGTGTTTATTTTAATTTTTCTCCCCAGCACTTGACTTTTAAAAAAAAAAAGTAAAGACGGACACGAAGAAAAAAAAAAAAATCGAGAGTTGGCACGCGCTGGAGCCAATTCACGCAGGGCGTGGAAACTTAAAAAAACGTACAGCTCAGTGTACGAAGAGCAAAGTGCTCTCTGTACAAAAGCAGAGGTGAGAAGGCATGAGTAAAATAAAAAAATCAGGCTAGTGAATCAGCCAAGCGATGAATAAAGGTGTCAAAGAAAAGTTGGAAAAAATAAGAGTAAGGTGGAAAATAAAAAAAATAATAAAACACGGATAAATGGACTCACCGACAACGTTGAGATGCACAAAGTGGCTCATGTGCGGGGTCGTGGACACTTGGCATTCGTAGACGCCGGTGTCCCGGTGCTGGGGATACTTTATCTGGAGCATCCAGTCGTCCGTCTGCATCTGATGGACTGCTCGGAAACGCTGGTCATTCGTGTACGTGTACTGGCCAATTGTCAGCAGGTGCACGTCTCTCCATCTCACCCACGACACCTAAGAATAGTGCAGATAATGTCGAATCATGTTAACATACATTTTCATCAATGTTTATATATTCTGTATATTTGTCACTGCTGATTCTACGAGCTAGGGATAAACGGTACAGTTATTGACACCTTAAGGTAGTGATTGACCTCTGCATAATTTGTATATCTATATATAAAGGCTCCATTTAAAAATGCATGTGGCGGTCAATCACTATCGGGGGGTCAACAACTGTACTCTTTACCCCTATTTGGTAGAAATTGGGTAAGATCATATTGATGTTGTTAATGATAAAATTTTTCTTTTATTTTAACCAAGCAACTAGGATTTAACTAAAAATTTTTTTTTTTCACAGTGAACTTCCTTTCTTAAGGACTGAAAAACGTTCAACTTTTGTGATTCAAAAATTGTTAATAAAGTACAATCGATAGCTTACTAACGATCCCTATGTATGTTTTTTTTTTTGCGTTGCATCACATTGTAGAGACATCAATCGACAAACTTTATGACCGTGAAATAATTTCACGATGACATGTTTCTTGTTTATACTTTTTGAAGTCCTTTTACGTGACGAACTTTATATGTTCATTTAAAAAAATTTTTAACTCGTAAAATACGATAATGTATGCGCAGTCTATAATAATTCAACATGATGGTAAACAACAGGTGTATTGATGAATCTCGTGAATAAACTATCGGGCTTTCCGTTAGAAAATTTATGCTGCAATCTACATCTTATTTTTTAATTTTTAGCTGCTGACTCTATTTTAAATTTCATACCAATTATTTATATCCCTCGTATTGTGCCTAATTACAAAGTATTATTTAATCATCATTCTCTTTTTGTATTTAACACTCAAGTGCGGTGCCCACCTGTCTCGATGAATAGTACAATTTAAAAAACAGCGAAGCAACGAAAAAAAAAAAAAAGGTATCCCGCAACCAATCACGTATGGTATGCATTGATTTTGCCCGTCGCCTTTCGGCCCAGCAATTCGACGGAATTCGACAATCCACTCGGGCCTTTTAAAATTGCAGGAACGAAATGAAACCTTTCAAAACATCAAACCTCCCCCGTGCATATACATGCACGCATTCACGATTCTCTTTCCTTCTACCAATACTACCGTGTGACGCTTGAGAGTACGAACCAAAAGAAAAAAAAGATCGTCCGGAAAATAAACGAATCAACAGTAATTAAACTTTGGCACGAAAATCGCCCAGAATGCATTTAATCGCACACTTCGTTTTATTCATACAAACACACACGTATACACACACATGCATTATCCCACGCGTTCCTCGAAACGTTGTACCTTTTCTTTATGGCCGCAGACGAGCAATTTATTTTCGAACAAACTGTTTCTCCATTCACGTAGGTGTGTGCGAGGGGGTTGCCTATGAAGAGTACGAGTCACGTTTCTGGTGCTCCTGCCGGAGCAGGTTTTCTTGCCATCACCACAGGGGCTTGCTAGCTCACACGGGAGGGCAGCAGGCCAGGAAATTAAACGCGCGAGCGCGATTTTTCTCCCTCCGACGTCGATATTTTACGGATTCTACGGCTGATGTTTTTTCTTTCTCTCGGACGATGGTTGATCGATGTTGGTTAAATTTTTTTACCCGAAGGAAGACTCGTGAAGGTTTACTAGCGGGTCGTCAGCGAACACATGGCTTTTTACTCCATTCCCTGCGTGACCTTCGTCCTTTTATTTTTTATCGAGTTTGATAAAGAATCATATTCCATATGTTATGGTTTATAACTTCGGTTGAAAATTTTTTAATTGGAAGAAGCATTGTGTTGTTACAAATTGTTATTAAAAATGTATAAAATTACGCAACAATGTAAGATAGGAAATATCCATCAGAAAATTTTTATCGATTCGGTGCAAGCTTGTACATCTAACGTCTTTTTTTGACCCTCAGCACGTCCATTTTTCACAAAGTTTCGGGACCGTCTTTCATGCCGTTACACGACTTTTCCTCTCAAAGGGGAAAACTTTTCCCATCGATGATATGTTGAAAAAAATGAGCGCAACAGCTCACAGTTTTTTCTTAATGTACCGATACACCAAACAAGTAAATCAGGCAGCTCTCGACTTGGAGAAAAAAAAGGGAAAAACAATACATCAATAAAAAACGTATTAAACAGTTGGGGGTATTGTCCTTGTTCTTTTTAATAAAAGTCACCTTTTTTCTAATGACAGAGCAATTAATATCGTTGGTGTGTCAAGGAAGGATCAAAGTTGATGAATTTTTTTATTCTTTCAACAAAGCAATTGTTTCATTTAAAAATAATGTTTGAATAAAATTGATTTGTCATTAAAATAAGCATTTAAATGAAACAATTAAAAAAAAAACGTATTTATATAAACGTCACGTTACTTGATTCATTTGCAAAACATTGTTTGAGAGCCACGTCTGTTATCCTGATGGTAGCGACTAATTCGGAAGAAAAAGACAAGTTGACGGGTAATACGTAACAATCGAAGTGATGTCAGAAATGCACTGCCTTTACCTACTTGGTAATGTTAAAAAAATGCTTTCAGCAACGCGTGCGATTTTTCGAGACGCCGAGCACGCGCCGAAGAGCATTTCTTCCTTTCTTCTCCCGTGCTCTTCCTCGCGTTCTTCTCGATTCAGCGAATTTCCACATTAGATTCTTTTACGCTCGAAAGTATACGTCAGAGTTGTATGAAAGAGATGTGCATCGGCATTGCAGCTATTCGAAATCGTGGCTGAATTTCTCTTTAACTGCGGTGTACAAAAGAAATAATTCATGAAATTTCCTTTATCAACAAATTTTAAATGTAATTGATAGTGTGCAATATTTTTTAACAACGCGTTAATTTAGATAATTTAATTGGTAATGGATAGTTTGGATCTTCCGCACTTTCGTAATAAGCATAATTTTACATGATTACAACAATTTCATTAGATTTTAGTAATTTAAGAAAAAAAAAAAGTTTTTCAACGTTTACAAAAATACTTCTAAAACAGTTAAAGAAAAGTTTAATTGTTACAGATCATTTTTACACCGCAACAGTGGCCTTTGAAGTATTTCTCTCGATTATGGCGAGCCCTTTAAACGCATGGCTTCGCAAGCAATTCCGAATAAAAGAGCTGTTCTGGCGTACACATAACTTACGCCCCTCACCAAAAAAAAAAGAAGTCGACCCCAAGCAAATGTGCGTTTTCCTAGCAGCCACCATTTTCCACGAGTCAGCGAATTTCCGGTTCATGGGATCCGGAGCTACAAGTGCAAAGAAAGAGAGGAGCACAGACGATTTGGCCTTTCCTTCAACCATACACGCGCTCACCCGGTGTACACATACGTGCAAACAAATTGACGAGGTGATGCAGGCAAGGATAACGAGGAGTCGAGGAGACCGGCTATACGTATATATACAGGAGCCTCTATACGTGTAAGCTGTGAGTGCGAATACGTGAGCGCGAAGAAAAGGCCTCTGCGTCCGAATGCCTATTTGCTATTCAAGTAGTTTCTTCTGCGCCACTACTCCTTGGCGTTTTTGGACCTCGATCTCACCTTTCAATTTTTTCTTTTTCTTTTTTCACGTTTTCTTTCTCCTTCCCTTTTTCGGTGATCTACAAATGGCGCCAGTCCAAGTGGAAATACACCGCAACGATGTTCACACGCGTCAAGGGCTTTCAGATTATTTTAAGGCTGGACACTGCATTTCATCCCTATTTTTTTTTATTCATCAATTTTTTGTCACTTTATTATGCAGCGAGAAAAGTGAATCTCGCAAACTTCACGTTTCGTCAGAGCAAAAAGTGCGACGGGCGATTTATTAAGATCATTACGGCAGGCTATTGTGGATATTTTCTTCTCAAACTACAGCGGTAGCCGGTCTGGGTACGCATTTTTCTCTTGCTTTCTTTTTTTTTTTTTTTTCCCGTCTGAAATTGCAGGAAACTTTATTTAGGTCCATTATTGAGCTTATCGGCTCCTCTAACTCTTTTCTCTCGGCTGTAATTTCCAGCACCTGCGATGATTGTAGGTTTTCAGTAATTTTTATGGATTTAATAATAAATTCCCTTATGAAGGTTACTATTGTTTAAACAATTTTAAGCATAAATGAAAATTGAGAGTTATTCAACTTTGTTGATCAAATGTTTTCATGATCTAGACGAACTTAGAAACACTATTTTTTTTTTTTTACTACTCAGTGTGCGAAGCAAATGTATTTGGAACAGTTTTTAGGTGTAAAGTTATATCCAAATTTTCAAGACAATAATAATAAAACTATCTTAATGAATGAGTGATCTAAGAAAACCTGTGCTTGTGAGATTCAAAACTCAGAGTATGGTTACGTAAACTTAGTCTGTAGTAAGTGAAATCATAAGTATAGTAATGAGAGAGAGAGAGAGAAAAAGTATCATGTAATGAAAAACGACTGACTGGTACCATCGCTGGAACACAAGTCCACTCTTTGCTCGACCGAGGGTGCCAAGATCAAATTTGAGAGTAAAGGAGCATAGATTTTTTATTGGGTCAAGCGTGGACGATTTGGTTACAGTGATGCTGCGCAGTAGTTTGTGAGATACAGCTTGTGTGAGTATCATTAAATGGCTTGTACAGGGTGAAACAATGGGAACCAAATTTATGCAAAAAGTAGTATAATTAAAAGAAAAATGAGAGCAATTTTTTGCTTTAACAGAAAAGAGAGACTGACTGACTGCAGATAACAAAATTTATTTATGCCCAGGACGCCAGGTCCGAATGGCAACAAACGATTATAATAAACATAAAAACAAAAAGAAACAATCATTTACAAAATTTACAATAGCCAAATATAGAGCGTATAACATGTCAATACAGTGAATAACAATTGAGTCTTAAGATTACTACAATCAAATGCGACCAAACAACATAAGCTAGATTTTGGTAGACGATAAGTGAGAGAGAGAGAGGATGCGAAAGTTGAGGGGGGGGGTAGGAATTTAGAAGCGAGAGAGTGCAGAGCTTAACAGGAAAAATAAGAGAGAGA